ACAGAAGTGAATCTAAAAGACTAAAGCAGTCAATGTGTTATTATTTTTATTTATTCTAATAGTTCCTGTAAAGTTCTACTCTAAGAGATTCATCTTGGCCTTCATGCAGGATTAAAGCTCAATAACACACAAAATATAAAACATTTCTTTATGGTTGTTAGGCAAAGTTATCAAACATATATCCACTAATATGGTCTCATTCTTGCTCTGCTGCCTAATTTTTCCCTGGAGGCATCGCTATGGCAACTTAATATTTAACATGTCTTTGTTATAAACTTTATTTGTACAAATCTGTGATGTTGATGTGCACAACGTGGGCTTTAGACCTCGGAGGGTTAATCAACAAATAAATTTCTGTTCATGATGGTGCAGATTTCTGACAGTTTGTGTACTTTAAGCATTTAACAATTTGATTGTTTTCTAATACAAACTGTGTGAAACTCAAGTTAGACCTGTGTTTGTAAATGAACCGCCCCATGTTGTGTAGCTTTCTGGATTTTATACTTATTGGGCTACATATTAATTTACTATACAGGCTATACAGCAGATAAAATCTAAACTCACATGTTTTATGTAACTAAAGTGTTTAATCATGTGGGCTACAGACAATAATCAAGTTATGGACTATATTGATATGTGAAACGTGCATACTTACTGCATTTGAATCATTTTAACCATATGTGACCACCTGCATGTCACGGTCCCGGGACTTCTACCTGGTTTTTGTGTCTTGTATTGTTGTTGTTTGATGGCAGTTTTAGGGTCCCGAGGTTGTTCTGTTAATGTTGCTTATTTGATTTCCCCTCGTGACTTTACCCCCTGTGTGCCCCCTCTGTGTATCTGCCAGTCCCCGTGCCTCGTTTCTCCTCCTTGTGTTTTATTCCATGTTTTCCCAGCCCGCTATGTCTGTGACCTCCATATTACTTTGTGCCTGTTATTCGGCTGCAACGTGTCTGTGGACTTGCTTTCCACGGATTTTTCCTCTCTTGATTTGGCCTCACCTGCAGTTCTCAGCATCCTTTCATAGCAGGTGTCCTGCCCTTGGTCCAAGGTGCGCCCCTGCAGTGTTGAAACTGTGTTTTCCCACGATGTTTGCTACCCTACAACCCGTCCT